AAAGTACCACCGCCTGAGCTGACGGAAGGAAATGGTGCCGTTGTTGGCGTTCCATGTGATGTTGACTTTCTCCTTCGTCTCCCTGCGAAGCATAAGTTGCATTTCAATGTAGGGTCCAGAGTAAAGTGCCATATTCACTGTTAAAAATACCGTACCCAACTACAGCAGATACTACAGTATTTTGACTACGGATCGCCACAGTACGGAACTGTACGCCATATTTTGCTGTATAGGATACACTACAGGCAAACCGTAGTCCAAAAACAACATCTTTCTTCTGTACCATACCAACAGCGTCACTGGCCTGGAGATTGACTCGCTAGTTAGCTCTCGCTGATGATACGTCACGCCAGATAAGTCATACGCCAGAGGTGCCGATCACCAGCCGGGCAGCGCCTTGCCTGTCCCAGTCTCTACGAATGCAACTATTTTTGAACTTTGAAGACGGCGGTCAACTCCCGACCCAATCCACATACAATAAATTACAAACGGCACACCTGTAGATATACTGTAAGGGTACAGCAACATCATGGCTACAGTTTTGATACGGTGCTCCTGTACCTATTCTGTATGATGTACGGTTTTGGTACGGTGCATCCTGTACCTCCTCTGTAGGAGGTACGGTTTGACCACAGACGTGTTAGGCAAGTGTATGACCAATAGTTTCCTGTACCTATTACTGTGGTTTTTTGTAACAGTGTTGTCCGTTCATTGCTGTCCTCCTCTGGATCCTTATCCGTCAACCTTTCATCCGTCAATATGTGTGCCCGCGTCCCTCTTGCCCCCTTCTCCAGGAGGCTGCAAACAAAACCAAAAGGAGCTCCGAGGAGTGGGTCGGGGAGGCCTGCGAGCAGTCCATTGAGTTATCTCAATTAGGGCCATTGGTGTTCATAACGCTGTGCACTGCCGCAGCTGTAGCCAGGCCGTGCAAGCAGTGTACTTACGAGTGAACACCATACGGATGTTAAGGACTCAATACTTCACCGCGAAAAAGACTAAGTGTTGATAACCTTCAAAGTAATTTTGATTTTTTTTCTCCCTAAAATGTACCTATTAATTAATTTATTTTTTCGCCAAATTCTGAACATTTTGGTTCTTGTTTTTGAAGGGAGGTGAAATACAATGACCTGTTCCACCAAGACTATTCTTTTTGTCGAAGTGCAACGGCTTTACAAATGAGGTACCAGGTACCAATGCTGCTAAGAGTACTCACCGAAAGCGGTACGGACCCATCTGCTCGAAGTGCGGCACAGCGGCGGGGTCCTCGATCTGGTGGGGGTTGGTCCAGTTCCAGAAGTAAAAGTCGATGGTCAGCGGCACGGGCGTGGACTTCCACACGCGGAAGCTCGTGGAACGCGGCGTCAGCTTGAGCTCCTGCGGGTCGCACGAATAGGGTCTCGGTTACCGGTCGGGGTCGGGGGGACGCGCCTGCGCCAAGCGGCCGCGCCGCAGCGCACCCACGCCGGAAGGGTTGCCTATCGTCTCGGAAAGCGTATCGCCCGCCCCCGTTCCCCTCCACTCGCCTTTCTTTACTCTCAACTCTCTAGCCTTGCTTCACTTGGCTTCCCCCGTTTCGACTGCATTGCATTGATACCGCAGACCGGAACACAGATACCGGTCGCCACCCGATAGCAGTGGCATCGGCAGGGCGCTCCGCACGGCGAGGTGAGGTGAACTCGGTACTACTCACGCTGTGCACGACCAGGGTCAGCAGCTGCGGCCAGAACAGGGCGAGGCACGCGCCCAGCAGCACCGACACGACGCCCACCCACAGCAGCACGCGCTCCGACCGGGACGCTGACGGCGGCGCTCCTGGGAGACATGAGGGGCAAACGGTTAGCGGGCCAAACATCCAGTAGTTTTGAAACCGATGTAATTGAAATTTCTTGTGAAATGGCCGGTGAACGTCGGGCATAATCGTCGCGCCTCTTCTGCCTGCCCTACGCGGCCCTACGCCCCGTGGCTAAGAAATTGGTTAAATTTGAAGTTTCAATAATTGAGCAAATGCAATTTTCTTTGAAAACTTCCAACCTTCTACACAGCTGTTAATCTGTTCCAAAAACTGAAAGAGTTGACATGACACCTTTGATAAAATTCGCACCCCTACCCTACCGCTTTCGGCGTCCTTCCCTCGTCGGGGACGTTCCCTTCCGCACCTCAGCGTCCGTCGCGCCATGGCGCTGCGACGGCGCGGGCCGGCGCGGCGGGCGCGGGACGCACCCGGGCCAACCGCGGGCCACGCACCGAGGGCTCTCGCTCGCCCACCTGCCTCTAGCGCCCTTCTTATCGGTCTGATGAGAGACCCCTCCCCCACTCCTCCTCAGTGATACCATGCATAATAATAAAATAATGTGTAGCCCAGCCCTCCACCTGCCGGGTTGGCAACCCGCTCGCCCAGCACCTCATGTCAACAACCCGAGCTCCGCGTGGGCGGCGGCGACGCGCTAGTTGCTAACGTTGCTACTCACCCGGGTACTTCTCGTGGGCGAGGCCCGGGGCGGGGCGGCAGCGGCAGCAGCAGGCGACGAGGGCCGTGGTGCAGGAGAAGCACCTCCAGCCGCAGCGCCACAGCGTCTCCTCGGCCGGGCTGTGGTTCTTCTTGGGCAGGGCGGCGGCGGCGGCGCCGCCCCTCCCCTGGCGGCCCGGGACCTCCACCATGGCGACGACGCGGTGCGGGAGCTAGAGCTGCATGTCAGCCGGGCACCGCGACGTCGAGCTGCCGGGTCCCGGCTCGGCTCGGCTCCCTTGCCGTCCGGTGTGTGCGACTCTGTTGTAGAGCCGCCGGGCCATGCGGTCCCCGTCCACGGCTGGGAGAGAGAGAGAGAGAGAGAGGGGCTGGGGGAGCGGGCGGACAGCGGTCAGTCAGTGGTCAATCAGGACGCCGTGCGTCTTCCCCCTCCCGCCCCTCCGCCTCCCCCCTGCAATTCCAGCAGCGCCCAGAAGTGCAAGCAGGGCAGCAGCCTTGTCCATGGCTCCATGGCCTGCCATTGCGAGCGTATGCGCTGAGAGCCGCGCGTTCAAGTGCCCCGGGTCAGGGCGCGGCGCGGCCTGTCTAGGCCTGGCACGCCGCGGGGTCAGCGCACTACTATATTCGCCAGCTCCACGGCTTGCTTGGAGGAGGAGAGCTATTATTGCGTTCTATGATGGGCGGTGCTTTTATTTTCTCTGTTGCACTTTCGCTTTGGGGAGTCGGATTTGCGTCCGGACTCGTACTCGTGTCGGGCTGCGCGGCGGGCGGCGGTGTCGGCGGCGGCGGCGGCTGTGGGGCTTCCCCCCGAGCTCCCAATGGCAAGGACGCACGGTGGCGTGTGTATGTCAAAGGGTGTCCGCGGTGTGTCGGGCCGGTGGGCGGCAAGGTGCAGGTGAGGCAGGTGATCGCCTCCAGGGGGCTGGTGCGAGCTGCCTGTCATCTGCCCGCACTCGCGCCGGCACCACCCCTATCGCATCCACAACTCTCACCCTCCTGACTGAGCCGTGTTGAGTTGCGCCCTCTCCCGAAAAACATCCCATCGGACTGGCAGAGGATGGCAGGGGGAGGGGAGGGGTGGAAGCCTTATGAAGAGGCTGGTAGTTGGACAACACCACACGACACTCGTGCATAAGCGGCGAGCGAGATGTCGCGGTGCATCCCAAAACACACGCACTTACTTTTGCCCCGTCATATTGATTCGCAGTACGTGCGTAATATCGCTGGAGAGAGATCGGCAAAGAATAGAGTGGTCGAGCATCGGTCGAGTTACGCAGTTCGGCACACTGACGTATCGCCATGCATGCGATACCGGGAGGGAGGCGTCGCGATAGAAAAGCCCCTCCAGTCCGCTACAGCAGCGCGCGCGAAGTCTAGTCTACAGCGCCTCTGGTCTGTGGTGACGCGATCTAGCACTGCGCTGTGACTGCGAGGTCTTTTTGTTGTACTCGTATTCGCCTGATAGTTGTGGTTGGGTGAGCTCGCCCCACGTCGCGCGAGCACAGCTCTTGCAACTCGATAATAACCGCAGCATCAACAAAGAATCATTCTAGTATTATCACAATAATATTAACACATGAACAGCCGTGGATGTTGCCTGTTGCCTACATTTAGCACTCCACGTATCTCTAAGTGCCACCCTACCACCCTAGTGAACTCTAACTCACCGGACGGTACAAGCTCTCCTTGTCGGCCTGGGCACAGGTCCTCGTCGTGCCGGTGCTGATCGACGACACGCACTCGACGTCCTTCGGCTACCTTGATTGCCAACGGCGACGCCCCCGCACGCCACCGCCTCTGTGCGTCCTCCTCCACCACGGCGATGATGACAACGACGCGCCGCCGGGCCGGTAGGTCTCCCTCGAAGCCGGTGACCCGGGGGGAGTGCGGTGGGGGCGGCCTAACTCGATTACAACAGGAGCCGCCCCCGGGAGCGGTGCGGGGGTGGATGTGGATCATGTATCGGGGAGGGTGGCGGCGGCGGCGCGGTGGTCTATCGCCCTCCGCGACCATCTGACCAGCCACCTCAACAGCAGTACTGCCGTGGCAACATACTTCTTTGCCTATGACCTATGATGTGACTCACTCAGAGGGTTGTCATAGCTGTCGGCGGCGCGTGATTCAAATGAGCCGCTCCCCAAAAGGCTGCCAACGCAAGCGCACCAAGCACTGCGACGTGTTTTACTCTTCGGAAACGTGTCAGTTGAGATTGTAAAGCTATGATCTTCTTCAATGAAGTATCGGTTTTGAAAGGTGTATTATCCGTTTATCTGTCATAATGGACATTAGAGTGGTGGTGGACATTTTCGGGTATGGTTGGCGGCAGCGTTTCAGTTATTCCCACCATCTTTCTCATCACCTATTCCCCCACCATCCACACCCGGGGATCCCTCTTCCTTTGTTTCGTCAGACTTCGTCGCCGGTTGCCGCCAATTGCCCCGCTCTATTTTAATTTTCATTTTTCGTTAATCTTACTGCGTGAAGCCAAATATCCTATTGTCTGCCGAGCGATGTCTAAAATTCCTTACTTTGGGGTGATTGTCCCTTCGAGACATGTAAGTATTGCGTATTGCAAATTATTGGCACCTGTTGCCGGATGCCTAGGCTAGAGAACAAGGCAGTCACCCTTCCTACTGCTTAATAAAATTTAATTGAGTGAAATGTGTGAATTTCCTGTGTCTTTCTTGTTGAAGTGTCACTCAAATACCAGATTCATCAAGAATTGATGATATCTCTGCAACTTTGTCAAATTAGGTATTGACTCTCTAATCTTTTCTTAGGTCATTATTGCATCGGTTTACTATCAAAATTGAATTGAATTCCTTAATCTGAAATACATCATTGTGAGCAACTAACAGTGATGTCACAACTGTACTAAAATTTGACCAATTATTGATGAATCTGCTACTTATGCATTTGCATGGTCAGGTGGCCCACCCATAAAACTAGAAACTGTCACTCATTATTTGCCATTACATATGCAACCTAGGTTTGCTAATTGTCAAATTGATGGTTGACGAACTGATTAAATAAATTTTCACCAATTATGAACATGTTTTTGAGTGCCCGTGTGGGTCTTATCATAAATGATTTGTCCATCAAAGAGGCACCAAAAATGCCTTCATAATTTGTGGAAATAAATTCATTGTATTAATTTACATTTAGCAAATGCAAGCTGCATGAGAAATGGCAAAATCTGAAATGATCTATAAGTCTGCATTTCTTAATGTTTCCATTATGCAACTTGTCTGAATTAGTTCCTCCTTTATGAATTATTTTTTACTGTCTTTAGGTTGAAGAGCCGTACAGTGAAGAATCCGGACCAGAAAATGTATTCTTCTCAAAAATATATGATGCTCAATATGTTCAGGAAATTATAGTGTTTCTTCCAGGGGTGCTTCCTGCTGAATTTGGGGCAGAGGGTATGTCAAAATCTAGCATTGACCATCTGCCGTTTCTTTCCTTGCACAGCTTCTATACTAGTTTTAATTTTATTTCAGTATTCATGCGCTGGCAATATGATGCTGAAATGAATGCTGAAATGCATTCTGAAATGAATTGGATATCTTTAGGATACATATCTAATGACAAACCATCTGATATTTTCAAAGTTAATTTTTTCAAAACTGCGTCTTTTCTTGGAGCAGGAGATGGTCAAAACTCCCCTTCACTACCTGTTAGTATTACTAAACATGATTACTGAATTCCTACGTATACTTCTACAATGTATATGTTATACATAATTTAATCTTTTCTTACCCATATCTTTCCTTAGAATTTAGATATTCTTCTAAAGATTACTGTAGAACCATTGACAGAACTATTGCGGAAAGTTCAAGAACAAGAGAAACAAGTTCAAGAACAAGAGGAAGTAAGTCACCAGATTGCCTCTACTAAAGTCTTCATCGTTTTGTTCGTTTTTAAAAGTTTCTTCTTTTTTTCCAGGTTGCATTTTTTGATACTTTTAACTCTCTTATTCCCCCCAAATACATTTTTAAGAAAATACCTGATCTACCACTTCACACACCAATAAAGATTTTAAAGGTTGAAGTAGTTCCTGATTCTAAAGGAAAGTTTTTTGCCATGTTGGGCAAGGATGAAATCTATTTTAATTTGCCTATTGACGATCACAAAAACATGTTGCGAACCAATGGATATGAGATCATTACAAATCTTATTAATAAATCAAAAAATCCATTTTGCTTTGTCTATCTGCGCAAAACTGTGAGAACTTTTGGTATTCTGCAATATAGTGAGTATTTTTTTCTGCATTTTTTAAATGTTTGACTTGAATTTAAATTGAAGGTATTATGATATTATGATTTGTTGTAGACCACAGTCATAATATTGCTGAGAAGGCTGAGAGAAAACAACAACTTACTTACCATGAAATTCCCCCCGCTATTTTAAAGGAAGCTGATACGGAGGTGTTGGGTAATGGTTGGTATTTGGACGTCAAACTATTTTGTTTCATAATGTGTTTTTGGTATGAGTAAGCTATAATTCTGTTGTCTTTTTGTTCTTTTTCTATGCAGACATGTCTCAAGCTAGAATTGGAAACTAGTAACTTTTACTTTCATGTTGATTTGGATCATTAAGGGAAAGCTGAAGTTAGTCCCTCAAGAAGATAACAGAACCTCTTGAATAACCAGACTCGGACTCAAAGTGTTGAACTGAAACACTGCTACTTGGGTGGAGTGACAAAATTCATATGGCTTTCCGACCCCGTTTAGAGTATTTATCCTGTTGCTCTGAGAAGAACTACAAATCCAGAGGTGTTATCAACAAAAAGTCACCATCTTTGAGAAGATTTCTCCTGTTAATTAATATGAGGAAATGGCAACCTCTGCTCATACCTTTAAACATTAATAAAATAACAGTATTTGTTCTGTGCACTGGACAACTTCTCTATCGGGAAATTTTATTGGCATTTAGGTGTATTTTTACTTTGCATTTTTTCAATAAAATATGATTACAAAAATGTATAGATTTTGTGTTCTTTGTGAATCACCCTTGAAGGCCTAGAAACCTCCAGAGATAACTCATACAAACGATGTTACAGCACTGGACCTAAGAAAAATTGCAGAATGTAGGGCAAGGCTTGGCTCTTAAGCTTTTCCCGCTCCCGCTCTTTGATTATTGGTACGACCGAACTTTTCATCTCGGCAAACCTAGTCTCTCTAAGGCGCCATATCTGATCTACTCCTCCTCGCGCGAATGAGAGCGAGAGGAAAGCAAGAAGAAATCTGTTGTGTGTACAATCCTGAGCAGCTGTACATAAGTGTCAGTTACGCCTGCTTTGTGTTGTGATTGACGTATTTGGCTGATCACGTCGCTCTGAAACTGCTGCCGGCTGTCATTCCTGGCTGAAATCCACTTTTTCGACCCTTAACTTTGTCAGTTAAATCACTGTCACCATGGTTAGTTCATGGTTTATTGTGCGGAAACTGCTATCGAGTTGTCAATCTGTGTCCATGGGCGTTAACGCTTTGTTATCGTAATTGAACTTTTATGATTTTAAATACTTTATTTTTGAGAGTGATTCCTCTGCTTTCAAGTAAACCTCCACCGCTCCTTGACACAATCTGAATTACTTGGATCGGGCGGGCTATGTTTCCCATGCTGTGGATATTTTGTGTCCTTTGTTCTTTTACTGCTTGGTTGCAAAATGTTTTCTGTAGTTCTTTAACACCTTTTTATTTTTCCAGTCTGGAACTGTGAAAGTCTGTGAAATCTCGGATGAAGTCAGAGAGGCAATGAAGAAATTCCGCTTTCGCAAACATGATAACAATGCAGCTCTTGTGTGTGAGTTTGGTTTTGATAACTTTTTGCTTATCATCTTTTAACAAACTAAACCTCTAAACAAAAGTGTTAAGTGTTTTGAAATATTTAACTTACCTGACTTATTATTTCTTACTCTACTTACAGTGAAAGTCGAACGTGAGAAACAGTTGATTTGTGTGGAAGATCTCTTTGAGGTAAGTTTCTTCCTGGCGAGCCCGGTTGTAAACACACTTTTACATTTTTTATTTTCAGCATTTCTTGTGTTTTGATCTATGTCTTAATCAATTTTAATATTCCATTTTTACTCCCTCTAAATTAGGATATTAGTTTGGAAGATTTGAGAGAATCTCTTCCTGGACACCAACCTCGCTATGTTGTGTACAGCTATCGCATGGAACACGATGATGGTCGTGTGTCATTTCCACTCTGCTTCATTTACATTACACCTCGTGGTTAGTTCCTGTACTTTTACTATCACTGCAATGCATCAATCCCATACTTCTCTTTATATTATTATCATGAAACCTTTTTTTTACGCTTTTTTACAGATTCACAAATGGAACTTCAGGTGATGTATGCTGGTAGTAAGTTAGCATTGCAAAAAGAAGCAGATCTGACAAGAGTATATGAAGTCCGTGAGCTTGAGGAACTGACGGATGAATGGCTGCAGGAAAAGCTCTCAAAGTAACAAGGAAGACAAACTTGTGTCAGATTTACCAAATTTGTACGAACTTTCAATGTAGGTAGATATTATAATGGTTGTGTCTTGTGTCATTTATCTATTCAAGAGCTTTTGTACATATGTCATTGTAAATCTTGCCAACACACTCTTCCTTTTTTATTACAATGCTCTTGATACCTGATGTCCAAAATGAACTGCATTTCTTTATTTTTAAATTTTTTTTACATTCACTTTTTAACATCCCAAAAATTTTAAACTATGTATACTACTGTGATTCATGTCCTTGTTTTTTTCCCTTGAAAGTATTTTCTGTGCAGTATTTCCAGAGGTTTCACCAATTATAAATTGCTCATCTTTCTCTACCTACTGCACAACTTCTTTTCAAATTGCTCAAAAGTGTCACTCATAGAAGGTGTGTTTGGAGCATTGCTTCTGGTTATTGCTTTTTTTGTTTTTCAAAAAACTCATGTGTTGTGCTGGCATAAATCCTATGGTTGTGTTCTAGATATCATGACTTGATTCAAGATGATTGTTTTTTTCAGAAAGTGTTGATTTTTATACATTTCAATATGTTTCAATTGTGAGTGTTTTTGTAAATACTGTAGGACACAGGTGATACTCTTCTATTCCGTTCCAAAAACAGACAAGAAAAAAGTGCCAGATGTTCTGTTGTTGTGCAGTGACTGACAATCTGCCTTCCATCCATTAAAACTGTTTTTTTTTTCCTGATAGTCGTAGATTATCTTCGGTATATCATGTGATATTTTGAGAATGACGTAATCTTTTGTCTTGTTACATTTCTATTCAAGTGATTTTTTAACAAAATTCTGTGTTCAGCCTCTTTAAATTTTTGTTGTTTTTCTTCTTGTTTTAAATAATTTTACATCAGAATTGTTTGAACTGTTTGTTTGCAATATGCAAGAAACTAGTGATCCTAAAAATACCAATTTACCAAATTACCTAGTCAGAAATTAGTGTGTTCTCTCGTTCTCTGGGGTATATTTTCTGTATGCTTTTATTGTTATCTTATGTGTTCTTTACATGTGCTCTTCCTCCTCATTTGTTTTTACTTGTGAATTGGTTATCAGCATATCTGCTTATATTTTTAACAGCTAAGAACAACCCGGGTTTTCTACTTTTTTAAATATTTAGCTTTTTAAAAAATAACTTATAAGAATTTCAAGACAAGTATTATATGTATGTTAGCACAAGCAACTTCCGTGTTTCTGTAGATTGATGTTCTGTCAAATTAAATGAATAAAAACTGTGTTTCATGTTGACAGACGGCATGTGTAGTACTAATTCCCCTCTTCTGCAACTTGACTGTTCCTAAGAGACCGCATTCGCTGCACTGCAGGATGGGTCGCCTACCTCATCGGCGCTCCCGCGTGCGCCCGTCAAATGGGTTGCCTACCTCGCCGGCTACGGCTGGAGCGTGTGCTCGGCTCGCACCTTGCAGGGACACCTCCCAGTATTGGTACACTACGTAATCGCACTCCATTTCACATTTAGTTTTTTAGGGTCATGTGACGAAATGGTGCTAGGCTCGTTTGAGGCAAAGTAAAGCAGACTTGTGTTGAACAAAGAGTATTACGACTCCCCAACAGGCGTGTCGGACCTGGGCGCACCTTTCTAACGCCGTCGGGCCCGGCCTCGGCGTCACGTCGTGATTCTCTCCTCCCGTGTGAGTATATGTGTTTCAAACCCCCGCCGGCCCCAATCTGGATGGACTCGGTGAAATCCGGTCTGAAAGTGCAAGCGGGCTGAGCTGGGCAGGGCGACCTTGTGCTGCGCGGACCAGTGATGTGGGCAACAAGTCTGTGCTGGGCGAGGCCGGTGTCAGCGCACGCATGTCCTGTTTTGTCCTACTCTCTTGCTAGCGCCTAGGTAACGCGGTGTCGACCCGACCCGTGCCCGCGGACAAGGTCTCGGCGCCCGGTGACCGGCTCAACCCCTCCAGTGTGCGGCAGGGCCAGGGCAGCAGACCCCGCTCCAGTCCAGGGCTCTCTTCTTGGCCGGAACTCGCCGCGCAGACCCGTGACAACAAAAAGTCTGGGATCAACGTCATCTCGGGTCCGGCACGGCGACGTGGCCGCGGCCAGTGAGAGTGAGAGAGAGGGAGAAGAGAGTAAAGCAGAATGCTGCGACGGAGAAACATTCCCACCCAGCAGTTCCTCCCCTTGCTTGCTTCCATCTAAATTACTCCGCAAGGTCTGGGAAGTGGCATAGCAACGACGCCCTTCAAATCCCCCTTTGCTTTCCGCCGCGCCACGCGCCAGAAGCGCGTAACTACAATCAGCGGGGGCAGGGATCAGTCAGCGAGGCCCTGTGTCCCCCGTCCTCGTCGGGCTCCCCAGCTCCCAGCTGTCCCCGCCCAGCAGGATGCCCTGCTCTGAAAGTGAGTAGTGATAGTAGTCCCCGTCCTTTGCTTTAGCGACGAACATGACACGTGAGCGCGTGAAAACACAATGATTCATGACAAATTTCGACGGAATGTTGAAACACAATACAAGTTTGGCCATCCAGCCCCGGTGGAGTGATTGGGTATACTGGCCCGCATGCAGGGCAGCGGTCGGGTTGCCTATGCGCTCGGATCCTTGTAGCTTATTTTCGGAGGAAAATGTTCCAAAGTGAAATTTTCGCATTGAACAATTATTTAATTGTCCACGTTCCCAGTCAGGTGTGGTCAAGGTGGGATTCGCCTCCCTGCCCTTGGCCCACATGTAGTACTGGACTGGCTGCGGGGCTACCGGACCGTCCGTCGCGTCCGCGGACCGGACCAGCGCGGCG